TTTTTTTTTTTTTTGTGCTTGCCCTGCTGGCTATTCTTTCTTCTGCGTTTCTTTTTTACCCAAAATAAGAGAGGGGACACCCGGGCCCCCCGTCCTCCTTCCCTAGATCCGCCACTGAAACGTTTTGTGGCGTTAAAAGGTGTGTTTATTTCTTTCATTTTCATCAGTTACTCTATCCATTAGTTTTTTTGTTTAATTGTTAAAATCAAATATTGTATTATCTTTTGTTGGTTTGAAACATTTATTATACCTTTTCTTAGTTTCGTTCCCCCCTCCTCCAAAAAAATAAAAATATGCTTTACTTAGAAACGAAAAAATACAAAATACAATAAGTAAGCCATGGTCATTTAACAAACAAAACGTTCATGGAGATGAGGCTTACCGTAATTAAATTTTCAAAATGATTTGGGTATCATCACACATTCAGTGAGGTTATTGATAATTTATTGTTAATTTTACATATATAAAATTAAATAGATGTCTGCAGAGAAGAAATCGAGAAGTGCACGGTTCTCTCAGGCCATGAGCAAGGCACTTGTGCAGGCTTATGCAAAACACCAAGTAAGCTAAGTCGTATTATAGAATCATTTTGGCATTAATTCCTTAATTTTAAGTAGTTATAATGTGAAAAAAGTTTTGTAAAAATTCACATTTCCCAGAACTTAGAGGTTCAAATGATAAAACAACTTGACCAAGTGAAGAAAGGTGGGCAACAATTTAAACACACTATTATAGCATCAAACATTTTCTTTAAACATACATAAATTTGTATGGATGTATTGAAAAGTTCTTTATTTAAATTTTTTTCCCCTAGTATATCCTTCAGGCTAAATTTCCCAATACTGTATCCCAGGAGAAGAAGAAAGAGGCTTGGGCCTCTGTTTTAGATGCAGTAAATGCGGTGAATACTGGGGAAAAAAACTGTAGAACAGGTATATAAAAAGAACCCACTTTCATTATCTCTTTTTTTTTCAGCAAATATTGTTTAAAAATTTATTCAAATATCGAAATATTTCCTAAAAAAATTGAAATATTATTATGTGAAGAGGAGATGGGAGGACATGACGGGGACAGTAAAGAAGAAAGAGAGAGAAGCAAGAAACAAGGAGTTAAAAGGTTGAGAGTGACTGGAAAGGGCCACTTGGCAGATGAGGTAGGTTAGCTTCTAAATTTGTGCTAGACTTGAATTATTCCCATGTCACAAAGTTATTTAACAAAGACTGAAACTATTTTTTAAAGGATGACGACCTACCAGACCCATGTGTCGAGACCTTAAATCCCGCTGAGAAGGAGATTGCCCACATTTTAGGGCCACAAACTTTTGTGTTTAGACCAAGGAAATATCCATATCTTCTGTGAAAGGTCACTGAAAATCCCAAAGGCATGGACATTAGGATGTGTAAGTATGATGCTTTTGAACGCTGGAATTCAGCAAGGGGAGTAAGGGGGGCTACAATCACGGTAGGAAAAAACCAAGGTCTTGTAGAATGCGTAGAATGAACTCACGACAACTCAACACAACACATGTTTAATCATCATGGTGACCCATGAAAGCACGAGGTCTCAGCATGCATTGCAAGCAAAGAACATGCACAACAAATACATATTTGGGCATAACCGTACATCTCCCTAGTACAATCAATTGGACTAATTAACATAAAGGAAATTGCATGTCTACAAACATTGTTCCATCCTTAAGCCTGGATTTGATGGCAAACATAAACTATCACTTAAGAGGCTGTCTCTCTAAGAACCACCCACTCAATTTCGCACCAAAAATAATTTTGCCTGAAACTCTGGCAACTGAAAGACTTTATCAAGGTTAGAATAAAAACAGGTTTGGTTTGATTCAAATTATTTTCTGGTCGCGTTAGGAGCCAAAAAATATTTCGTCCGGTCAGCGCCCGTTGCAACGTCTCCAAATGCATAAAATTGGCATTTTTCGTGGCCCTGAAAAATACTTGATTCGTAACATCTAGTATTGAATCTTATGTCAATTTACTCATAAATCTCTCTAGTTTTTCAGGAGATCAACAATTTTTTCTTTATTTAAGTGGCAAGACGAAATTAAGCAAATTGCTGGACACTATTAATCGCCATCGAACGATAGCTGGAAATAGCCTTCATCTAGAAGCTAATTTCTAAACTTTGGGACCTAATTGAGAACTCTAGTCTATACAGCCAAAAAGGGTAATCCTTTGTCGACAAAAATATGCAAAAAGCCCTGTACATTTTAGGTATTTCAAAAGTTATGGCCATTTGTATCAGCAGTAGTATCAGCACATGTACGTGCATTTGCAACTTTCACGCCTGCACCGAAATTGACCTATCTCTAACAGATTTTATCATAAGTACAGCTTACCTGCGATGCAGCTCGGGTTTTTCTCCAACTTCGGCCATTTTCTAAGCTTTCACATTGTTGAATTCAACAACAGTTCCAGTAAATAGGCAGGTATTGCCTTCCATCGAAACTTGAGCGTGAGTTTTATTGAGTTTCGGCTCGAAAGCGAACAAAGCTCACCAACTCCAGGCCAGTTTGTGCTAAATATCCTATCCAAACATCTTATCAAAACAGGGTTTCTTCGTGAATCAGACAATTAACTATCCAAGACTGGTATGAGGGAGAAAATCAAGAATTGAAAGGTTGAAGAAATCTCGCCAGTTAGATCGCTGAAAGATGGCGTTTTGATGTGATACTGCTTCCACGGAGGTCCGGTTAATAACCTCACGTGTAATTTCGCTAGCCAGTTTACAATTGCGAAACGGCTCAGTAATCTCGAAAATCAAAATATGGAACACAAGTGCTTATGTTTTTTCGTTTTTCAGGCCGTAGAATGCCTTCTCCAGCAGACATCTGCTTCAGACGCAGAAAGAGAGATCATTGGAGTTCAAGTTGCGGGAGGCTCAGCGATGGTCCTGAATTCGGGAATTACAGAAACACAACCAGACTTGGCTCAGGCAGTACATCTGGAGAGCAATCCCGCAGACCAGACGAGCGACAGTCAACTATTTGAACATGATGATGCAGTCGGATGTTTCGAAGATATCATTAAGGTAGAAGACTTGTTTTTGCCTTCTTTTGAGGTAGAGTCTGGTTCACTGGTCCCTGGTACAGTTCTGCCAGGTGTTAAGGGGAGACTTGAAGCTCATGTTCTGTTTTGGGAGAAGATTGGTGCATCACCTTTTATCATCAACTGTATTAGAGAAGGTTACAAAATTCCGTTTTATGTTTCTCCGCCTTCAGCAGAATTTAGTAATAATTGTTCTGGTTTAGAACATTCCGAGTTCGTTCACTCAGCTATTATTGAGTTGCTTTCCTCAGGAAGAGTTTGTCAAGTCCCGAAGAGTTGCCTCAACGTTATCAATCCTCGCTCGAATTATGACCAGGCATTGTCAGATGTCTGTGGCTGCTGCCCAAGATTGGGATAGTGTATTTTTGCTTGATAGATACTGTGTAGTTGAACTTGAGTTTTGGAAGAACAATCTTCGTTCCGTTAACACTAGAAGCATGTCTGATTCAGTCACTCCATTTGTTTCTATTTATTCAGATGCAAGTGATGTTGTTTGCGCTGGCCATATTGACGGGAAAGATATTTGTGCTCATAGGATGTTTACTGAGGCTGAACGTCAGGAGAGCTCCACTTACCGTGAATTATTAGCCGTACAGTTCGTCCTTAGTTCATTCAGTTCTTTTCTGCCTAATTCAAGAGTCAAGTGGTTTACCGATAACCAGGGGGCCGCAAGAATTGCGCAAGTTGGTAGTATGCACTTTAATCTTCACAAGTTAGTTTTTAATATTTTTTCGCTATGCTTTAAATTGGGAATTGCTTTGGACATTCAGTGGGTGCCCTGATCTCTCAATGATAAGGCGGATTACCTCAGCAAGATAATTGATTATGACGATTGGGAACTTGCCCCTGAGTTTTTTCAGCAGCTAGACGGTCTTGGGGACCATATACTGTGGATTGTTTTGCCTCTCACTACAACAAAAAAGTTCCAAAATATTTTTCAAGATTCTGGA